GGGTCAGTAATCTGTAATGTCATCAGGGTGGCACCAGCGTGAATACTGACTCACCTTGGCAGTCCCTACCCCACCCTTTGTCCCTCTTGTTTTGTTTCAAATCTCCCTGTGTTTTCTCTGAGGTGCGCAATTTCTGGATGAAAATGCAAACCTGGTTAGCAGAGGAAACTTTGCGGAAGGGAGGGGAATTGCACATCTTTCTTTTTAATTGTACATCTACCTGTTGAGCTCTGTGGACCTTGAAGCACTTAGAATTTAAATTGCCTTTTATATATGTTTATTAAAAAAAGCCATGTGTAAACATGGTGACCAGCCAAATACCTTGCTAGGTATAACTAACTGTAAACTAACATTTTGTTAAACTTAAACAATAAAAACAAAATAGAGGCATACATTAACTGGCTTACTGTCACTGGAATATGCTTCTTTTCAAATGATCTCAGCTGGGACCAGGTGAAAGCTTTTTTGGTAAGGTTTTGGGAATCTTCATGAGCCTCCAAATACTTATCTTTTCTTTAAGTCTATCCAGTTTTTGACAGCCACAAAATGTCAGTATGGGCTCCAACGTTGTTTTGGGAAAGTAGGCTCGGGTGGAACAGTGGGAGGGAGGTTGGCTCACCCCTGCGTTCGGCTCTCATGGCTGCTGGGGGCAATTGGATGAAACCACTTTTGTCTTGTAGGCTGAAGCCTGACTCCCAAAAGCACTGTAGACAATCCGTGCAGGACCAGAGTACTGCAGAATCAGACAAGGAATAGATAATTGCATGTGCTGTTTTTTGGAATATTATTTTCATAGGACTCAAATCTTTATCTTCTCTTCTTTTTTACTCAATTAGGTGATTTCCTGTAATCGAAACAAATACTGCAACTTGGACTCTGCCTGCATCTTGGGTCTCCAGGCTAGTTGGGGGCCAGATCCTTCACAAATGCAAAGGATGGACAAGCACATGCATTGTCACTTTGGGTCAGACCTGATATCTGTCCCTAGCGAAGGCCAGTAGAAGACATTTCAGCAGAGTGTATAAAAGTGCACACATACATTATAGTCTTTCCTCCTATTCCAGAAAAAGCTAAATACCATTTTATGCCCTGGAGCATGGGTTTTAATTATCCTTCCACAATATTTTGGTACAATCATCAACTATTTTAATTGCTCTGGATCATCTTGTCATCTTTATAAATGCCTGCTCCATTTTTTAATCATGTTGGTCCAAAAAAATTTTGTGTCAATGAGTTACACTGTTCAGCTTTATCTTGTATGTGTGTTTAGCCCAAAAAGTTTACAATTAAACAAAAGAGAAAACAAATCCCTTTTAGAGAAAGTTTAAGCCAAAATTTCAAGTGCTCAGTTTCCTGGAAGTGCAAGTATTTAGGGGGATATGCAAAACATTAGGATGAATGGATGCTGGACATATGTACATTGGTAAAAAAGGCACTTTCTGCCCATTCACATCTATAGACTCCTAAAGCTTTTGTAAATCCTGATCCTAAAGTTAGGGTTGATGTCACCCATCTTTTGTCATCTAAACGTTACCTATCTAGATGAAACTAATCTCTAGGCTCTCTCTGTATTCAGCAGGGAGAGCTGGGCACCTCTACAGGGGAGGTCCTTGCCAGAAGAGAGTTTAAGGAAGATGAGATGAATTGTCTTTTGGCAGTACCTCTGTCTGTCATTGAGAAAAGGACAGGGAGAGGCCTCACAGGACAGTGAACTCCATTCCCCAAGCCCAGATGTAAACTGGTCCTAAACCATTTGTCTTACAGATGTTTGCTCTGGAAATCTGCAAGAGGTGGAGTCTCCACAGCAGCCCTAAGCAGCCCGAGTCAGGGGTTACTGTCCTTGTTGTATGGAGTTTCGGCACTGTGTCTTCTTTGCTCCTTTCTGTGCTACAGCTTTCCATATATAATTTGTGGGAAAATACAGCTACTTCAGCTGTGTAGCTGTGGCACTCCAGCATCCTGAGAAGCATTTCCGGATCGAGTAAAACAGAGGACTAATGTAAAATTGCTGAAACCTTATAGGCTATTAATTAACCCAATTAATTAATTTGGGTCTTCCAGCAGGTGACTTATCTGTTGTGATTTAGCTCCCAGCTTTTCCAAATGCAGTTCTAGGCTAACTTACAGAAGTGAACACCAGAACACTCTAATTTACAGCTGAAGCTGTTTTTCAGCCACCCCTGCTGTGTCTGGGAGCATCGTCAGAGGTGTCGAGCGTTTGGAAACGTTGCCGTTTGCCTCCTTCGTTCTCTGATGAACACTCCTTGCCTCACACTTGTTTTATTTCTCCTCTTCTGTTTTTGAAACAGCTGATCAGAGCTGTGACCAGACACCCCGCGCCTCCAGCTCTCGTTCTGGCCCGGGAGCAGGCTTGGGTTGACTACAGCACCTTTTCCCCTTCCCTGCTTGGATGGAGGAGGGATTGCTGTTGATTGCACTGGGCGAGGAGATCACCCTCCCGGAGATGGGCAAACTTCCCGCTGTTGAAAGGGCTGAGTGTGTTTCAAGGGTGGAGGGAAAAATTCCCAGAGACCTTCAGGAAATTTTCAGTCTCTCCATTTCTTGGGCAGAATTTGGCAGTGTGCATGTGACATTAAATCAGGCAAACAGTGCAGTAGATCAAATTCTGCCTTCAGTTGCATCATAAAGCTAAAAATAAGAAGTTCTGCTTTATTGTGCGTTACTATACAGTGCTGATTATATATGGAGTTCCAAGCATATAAATATCAAAATAATAGATGATTGTTGCTGTGGATTCATATTCTGTTCATAGTAGAGATGAATTTGACCCTTTATATGCGACGCTGATTTTAATTTGTTAGAAACTTTAGTATCCCTCCTGAATTTGTTAATGTTCTTTGATATTAATCCAGCTTTTGATGGTAGTACTTGAATATATTCCTGGATTTTTGTTTGTGTTTGTCTAGTGGGATAGGTTGTAGTTAACTGAAATGCATGGTGTAAGCAAAGAGAAATTGCGGTATGCAAGCCATAATTTTCATGTACTTACTATTTTGAGTGCTCCGATGAAAGTGATGTATCACAGCATTTTTATCACATCAGCCGCTATCTTTGTCTCTCTACCTGAAGGATGGCAAAGGCCCTCCTTTCATCTGAAGGATTATGAGGCCATTATGGTAAACAGCAGCACCAGACTTGGTTGACATTGCTGAGACTTTCATCTTCTGCTCTAAGTTTTGAAGTGTTATTTGTGGTTCTCCTGTTCCCTGTCTCTGTGACTTGATGTTTAGTGAGAGCAGAGAAGAGCAACTCCTTGCCAGAGTTGTTCGGGAAAAAATTACTAACCCTCAGTAGCGAAGGAAGAAGAAAGAGAGGTGAGGTGAATGCTACCCCGACCCAGTTGTGGTCATGGTCTTGCAGATCTGGAGCTGAATTCTAGTAGCGTAGTGGGTACCTGCATCCCATCCATTGCCACCTTCACCCAAACAGAGACTACTTGCCCATGAAGTATGACAAAGCACCCCATGTCATGCCTCCAATCTCTGTGCAGGAGTCTATCAGCAGAGAAGAGCGTACGAGGTCACGGGACTCTGTTCTCAAGTGTTTCCATGGCCTTGGTTTCCTGTTCTGTCTGTGCTGGAACAGGTATAAAGGAGCTGCTTCACATCCACGTGCTGCAGCTTCTGAATGCACAGCAAGCTAATTCATCTTGGGTGAACTCCGGATAAAGAAAACCTATATTTTACAGTTGACTCTCTTATTTGCCTTTATTGATTATCATATTTCTTTAATATTGAAATAAGATTCATATATAAAGACAGAACATACAATAATATCTCTCTGTAATAGTGATACATCATCTTTGGATGTAATATTTTTATATCCTTTCATTTTTATTCTCACCTTTTCTGGTTTTCTTTCCCCAAATTTTGCCTAGAATTGCAATCCTTCACCTTTATGCCCTTTTTTTTTGTCTTAGCATTGCTGCTTTTTATGCCCTAGAAATAGGGATTGAGACATTGGTTCATTATTTTTGTGGGTATAGGGTATGCCTTCGAGCAAAGCGCGAATCCAGCAGCGAGGGTACTTCAAAACAAATGATGGAGGATATTGCAATTCAGACTCTGATTTTACATTCTAGCATCTAAAATGAATGGTCTCATCCTGTCCCTTCATACTGAGCATTTCTATTGCTCCCCTTGCGTCATATGCAGCCGTCTCATAGGAGAGAAGGGGCAAGAACCGAGAATGAAATTTAATCACTTACTTCTCAG